GACCTGCTGGGCTCAGGTGATCCTTCCACCTCAGCCTTCCAAGTAGTTGGAAACACAGGCCTGTGCCACCATGCCTGGCTAATTTTATATTTATTGTAGAGACGAGGTCTCGCCATGTTGCTCAGGCTGGTCTTGAACCCTTGAACTCAGGTAATCCTCTCACCTCCACCTCCCAAAGTGCTGGAATTACGGACTTGAGTCACTGCACCTGGCAACATCTCATATTTTAAATGGAATAACAAGGCTTTAGTAAATAAAATATGTCCTAAAAATTGCTTTTTATTAATACTGATAATGAGAAAAAATATATAATTGCAAAATTATGAGGGAAAACATGAAAACTACTTGCTATGGCTTCCTGGTCAAAAAAACATTTATTTTATAATCATTAATCTGTTTTCCCTCACTATACATTTTCTCAGGAAACTTTGTTTTCAGCATCCTTAATTGATATTGACAAAATAACATGCCGGAAGATTTCTGGAGACTTGGCCCTTTGTGGTGAGATGAGCTGTGACCCTTAATCATTTGATATGTACTTTCTCCCTTTCTGCCTTTGCTATTGAAAGGGGGAAATAACTACCCTATTCTGGATAATTTTTAACTAAAGATCTTTAAAAAGCTATTATTTAACATTTATCAGGGGAGGGCAAGTTGTGTTAAGTGCTTTTTATAAACTGATTCTTACATATATGAGATGGTTCACAGCAGGCATTAAAATGCTCTTATGTGTTTTATTGTTTTCTTATGTGTTTTATTGTTTACATTTTAGTATAATTTTTTGAGCCATTAATAGATAATAGCAGAAATAACTGAAAATAATTGCTTTAGGCTGATTGTATTGGTAAATTTCAGCAAAGCATAATTGATATATGAACATTCAGAAATACAACTCAGGGCACTTAAAGTACATAAATTCTTGTTATAATGTAAGAGCAGTTTCCATTGGGAATAGATTATTTTTAATTTGTATTTTCTCCTTTTTTTTCTACAGGAAGGAACTTGAAACCTTCAAAGGTAATTTTGTGTTTAATTCTGCACTTTAAACTAGTTGAGAGTTAATTGGTGTCAGATGTTTTCTCTTGATGATGATAAAGAGCTCGTTTCTTTTTTAAAAATCCATTTACGTCAAAAAGTAAAAGTTTGCTTAATACCATATTTGTAGGTTGTATTTAATCACAAGTGGTTTTGAGATTGTGAGAGTTTCTGCTGATGATCATTATAAATAGTCAGCTAAGAAGGCACGGTGCTAGCTTTGCGGTTACTGGGAATCATAATTTAAGAAGATTGTGGCTCTGTTGTGCCCTCTGGGTTACTGGGAGAGGGAATAGTTACAAAGATCAATATGTGTCCCTGCCATTGACTTCATCTGCAGTCGCCTGCACCTCCTGAGAGGTCTTCACTGCTGGGTCCCATCTGCCACTGTCTTACGACTTTGGATGAGGCTCTTACCTTTTCAGGTGTAGATCTTTCATCTGTAAAATTAGAGGCTCTGATTAAATGTATTCTAAAATTCTGAAAGCACCCAGCATTGTGTTTTAGTTTAGAGACCTTTCGAAGGAGGGACACTGGAGGATAATTCTCGATCATGTTGACCCTTGCTGGTGAAAAACAAAGAAAACTACAAACTTCCCAGCAGCTCAAGGCCCTTCAACTTGCAATTTTTAGTTACTCATGAGCAATTAAGTAGGAGAAATCACTATTCTCAGAGAGACTCATTTCAGTAACCAGGAAGCCTTTTTGAAATACTTATTAAATAACTTCTGATTTAATTTTGTTATGCTTATTATACTTTACATATAAACTAGCATTGACCTTTAGATTTATTGAATGATTAAAGATTTCCCAGTATATCATTTATAGTTGAATTGTTTATGTGTCTGTTTGGATGTTTTAGAAAAAAGGACTAATACTCAAGATAAAAGATATATATAAAGGTTTATTCCTACTACAGCTATAATTGAAAAGCCTTGCTTTGGCAGAATTTCTATTTGACCCATTACAGCTATAGTAAATGATTAAGCTCATGGTCATTTTCTTGATGGTAACATTAAATGATCATGTGATATAATGTATTATCATGGATATCATTGTTCTTATCTAATTTGTGAACCACTACTCAAGAACATTCTTTTTCATCCATTTAAAATAAGATCTGACTATTCAGTGATCTATCACAGAAACAAAGAACAAAGTACCATATGTTTTCACTCATAAGCAGACCTTGAACAATTATTATAATACTATAAAAAATGGATTGATGGTGGGAAACTGTCAGGGGATGGGGGGTGAGATTGGCAGTTGAGGGAAACTGCTAGAGGAGGAAGGGGCATACCTCATTAACAAGGGTACCTGCATAATCAACGTTTGTATACCTAACCCTGAATTGTACCCCACATCTTTATAATTTAAAAAAGTTTTAAAAATTTTTAAAAAATTTTTAAAAATAAAGTAAGATTTGAAATCCTCATAAAATGCTTTTTTCCTTCTTATTTTTTCTTTTGGTTCACTAGTTTAGCATCTTCTTATATAACATCAAGAGATGTAAAAAAGCAATCAAGTTAATCTTAAAAGACAGGCAGGGACACAGATTATGTAAAATGTCAGATTTACTTGCATCTCAGTGCTGAGACCTTTTTTTAGTATGACAGCATTCACAGAAAAAGAAGAGAATAGCAGTTTGTAAAAGGTTAGGTAGTGTTGGATATTACCCAATAGAATAATTCAATTTAAGCTGAAATACTTATGCTCACATCCCTAATTATGTACAACAATTAACAGCACATCAGATCCACCCACAGGCCAATTAAAGATCTCATATTCGAACAAACCCTAAATTGAGTATTACCTTATATCTAGATTTTTGGTATCAATGTTCATTAAAAATTGTTCCTTCTTGGCTGAGTGTGGTGGCTCACTCTTGTAATCCCAGCACTTTGGAAGGCAGAGGCACGAGAATCTCTTGAGCCCAGGAGTTTGAGACCAACCTGGTCATTATAGTGAGACCTCATCTCTACAAAAATAAAAAAATAAGCCAGGCATAGTGGCATGCACCTATAGTCCCAGCTACTCGGGAGGCTGAGGCAGAAGGAGCACCTGAGCCTGGAAGGCTGTAGGGAGCTATGATGGTGCCACTGCACCCCAGCCTGGGTGACAGAGTAAGACCCTAGCTCAAAAAAATTTGTTGTTTCTTGAGTGTTGTACTAATATTTTTAAAGTATGAAGACCCTATAACAAAAACAGAAATTTAGCTACTCTTCCAAAGTATTGGAGAAAAAAGATGTTAAAATTCATTCAGACATATTGTAAAATCTATTATATATTGGATATTGCCTTTGTTGTTTTTTTTAGGTTATTTAAAATTTACAGTTATAGTTAAGTGTTTTTTTTCTAAGTTGGGGAACACTAATCTTTGGAGATCAAAATGCAAAATTAATAACCCTCCAAGTTAGTAATATAGATCAATATGAATCACCGAGTTCTAGAATTTTTTTTTTTCTTTTTTTAGTCCAAGTCTTACCCAGGCTGATGCTCACAACTCACCCCACAGCTCATGGCTCACTGCTTTGAAAGTCTTAATACAGTTTTTAAAGATTCTACAAAAGTATAGTTAAGAATTACAAAAGATTTGAGGAAAAAAAAATCCTGAAAGATTCTATACACTAATTGTTTTACATGTCTTAAGTTTCTGCTTTGCTTTAAAAAATAGACTGAAAATTTTATCCCATGCAGTGTGGGCGGTTTATACAAGAATTTTCCATCAGTGGACCCATTCTCAAATAATTCATGAGTAAAACTATGGTTATATTTTAAATTAAAGTATTTGTGCAAGTGTTTTTAATTAAACTTCTATACTAATTGCTTTTTTAAAATGAAAGGACAAACATGGGATCCAATTGCATTATATAAGAAGATGTTTATTGTAATCTCCTACTCAATGTAATATGATCTGACCATGTCAGAAATGTAACTAATATTGTGAAAACATGTCAGAATTTAGGTGTTACCGCCATTATGGTGAATGTGATCATTGTGAGAGTGTGTAGGAAAAGGCAGCTGAGGCCAGCTTCTTAGGGCATGATCACATTTAAGGCTTAGCTCTGGAAAACAGAGCCAACGGAAGAGGCAGGACCCGGGTAATCGGAGAAACAGGAGGAAAGCCAAGGCAATTTAGTGGCAAAGAAACCTAGAGGGGGAAAAGTTTAAAGGAGAAGAAGTGATTATCTATGATGTAAGTAATGCAGAGGAGTTGAGCAGAATGGGGAAATCCCCTTGGATTTGACAGTGATTGGTGACCTGAAAGAGCTGTTCGTAAAGGAGAATCTAGGTCGCAAATTACAAGTGTATGAGAAGGCAGGAAGTAAAAGTGACATGAGCTGACTCCTTTTTAATGAATGGAAGGAAAGAAACGAAAATGTAATTTGGGATAGGATCAGGGTCAAGGGCAGGGGAGGTGTAGTTGAAGAGATTAAAATTGTGATCAATTGTGATCCGAAAGAAATGGTACCAAGTGGGTTATCCTTGGAGAATATCCAAAGACCTCTCTTTCCCAGGGGCCTCAGATATAAGTTTAACTTTTTAAGAAACTGCTGAACTGTTTTCTAAAGTGGCTCCACCATTTTACATCGCTGTCAGTGATGTATAAGGGTTGCATTTTTTCCTCATCCTTGACAACACTTATTGTTAGCTCTGACGTTTAGGTCTGTGATCCATTTTGAGTTAGGATTTGTATTTGTGTGAAGTAAGAGTTTTAAGTTCTTCTTTTTGTGCTTGTTTGTTTTTGGCAGACCTTGAGACCCTAGGGCACATCATGCCTTGAGTCTCCTCTGTAGGCCTCAAAACCATTTTTTGAAAAGACTAGCCACCTGGGCGTGGTGTCTCACACCTGTAATCCCAGCACTTTGGGAGGCTGAGGTGAGGATTGCCTGAGCCCACGGGTTCGAGACCAGTCTGGGCAACTTGGTGAGACCTCATCTCAATAAATCAAAAAATTAGTTGGGCGTGGTGGCGTGTGCCTATAGTTCCAGCTACTTGGAAGGCTGAGGCAGAAGAATCACCCGAAACCAGCAGGTCAAGGCTACTGTGGCCATGAGCATGTCACTGCACTCTAGCCTGGATGACAGAGTAAGACTCCAACACACACACACACACACACACACACACACACACACACACACACACACAAGAACTGGTGATATTTATCTGATATTCTCAGTTCTAATTAAATGCTCTTTTTTTGTATTTAAAGAAGCTAAAGTTTTGAGCAATAAAGTGACTTTCCCAAGACTATCCAATAAGTTAACAGAAATCCAAGATCTGGAGCCC